ACATTCGATGCCCCAACAGTTATTCAGTAACCAGAAATGAGGTGGGTCCTATGAAATTCCTGAATCTCCTTGGGGATGGAAGGGGGCTGTATTTCTGTGATCAAGTGCACGAGAGGAGAAGCCAGAACTGGAAACCTACCCCAGGACAAGTGGATGAAACAAAACTTGGGGAAGATACTCAGAAGCAAGGGGCACCATTTCTGAGGAGAGAAGGACAATGACTCTGCATAACGTTTAACTCAGACAAGCATGCCCCGCTCTTCGGGGGAAGTGAAACGCGCTCCCAGACTGATGCATCACTCCAATCTCTGCCACCATCGTCACATGGTCAACTTCTCCCTCTGTGTCTCTTGTTTTAAGGACACCAGTCAGATTGGATTATAAAACCACCCCACTCTAGTATGACCTCATCTTAACCAAGTACATCTGCAACCACCTTCTTTCTAAATAAGGTCACATTATGAGGTACAGGAGGTTAGGATTTCAACATATATTTTGGGGACCACAATTCAACCCATAAAAGGTAACAACTCCCAACAGCTGTAATCAGCCCAGCTCATAAAAGGAAATCCCAGAGCCCACACAGTCTACCTAGCTCCACTCAGTCCTGGGAAGGCCCTTAGCTAGGGATACATCTGTGATTCCCCCCCAAGATGGAAATGAGACATTCATTCATCAATTCTTTCAGCAAATGTTTACTAAGCACTTATTAAGTGTCCTACACACACTGGCTATGGATGAGAGAAATAAGACAAGGTCCCAGTTATTGATGAAGAATTTTCGAAGAAAAACTGTTTAGTTTTGTAAATCTTTGTTCAACTGTCTCCAGCCTATACCGCCTAAGTATGAGCAGTTTGAGAGCCAGGTAACCTGGCCCAGGTGGCCTTTGAAACAGGTCCCACATATTCATAATTATTTGTGGAATTGGGCTGCAAGGAGCCTTTGGGGAAAGAAAAACAAGCATTCAAGTGGCTAAAGCACAATGTACTACAGGTTAGAGGAGAAAAAAATTCAAAAGCCAGGGAGGCACAGGGAATACTCTTGAGATTTTAGAGCTGGAGAGAATTTTTGAGAGCATCTAGTTCAGTGGTTCTCAACATTGGCTGCACATTAGAATCACCTGGGAATCTTTTTAAAATCCTGATTTCTGGGCCTCATCCTCCAGAAATTCTGTTTCTTTGTTATGGGGTGGGGCCACAACATTAGTAACAAAGAAACAGAATTTCCGGAGGATGAGGTCCAGAAATCAGGATTTTAAAACGATCCCCAGGTGATTCTAATGTGTAGCCGAGGTTGAGAACCACTGATCTAGTTGGTGGTTTTCAAACTTAAACACAAAAACCAATAGAACTGTTTAAAAACAAACAAAACCAAAATGGTATGAGGATATGTGATGTGTGAACAGGCGAAAGCCAAATGGTTGTGGTAGAAGGGTGAGAGGGTTTGCAAGTGCCCCTCCTGCTCAGCACCCCAGCCTCTGCCCGCACTCCCTGGGAGGAAACTCCTCCCAGGCATTCGTTGGAAACCATGAGACTACTCATGAGGACACTAAGGCCCAGAGAGGAGGCAATGAATGTGGTCCTCAGGGACATACACTGTGAGTCTACGGCAGAGGCAGGACTAGAACTCGATCCTCCCCTGACTTTCAGTCCAGAGCTTTCGACACTACCTCCTATCTCGGGGTAAAGTGGACAGGAAGATGGGTTTCCACCTCCTGGTCGCCTTCTCACCCAGACTCTCCTTTTCTGCAGGCTCCTTCTCGTCCCCACACTGCTTTCCTGGCAGGGCCTATCCAGTGCTGTGATCCTCTGTTCCTGGAGGCAGGGGAAGGGACTCAGTGGCTTTCCAGTTCCTTCCAGCCAGTGGAATTAGACTTCCTTGCTCTACAACCCTGGTGAATCCTTCAAAACTCCCCGGGACTTGCCCCACTCTATCCCTCAGTGGAGGAGAAAAATCAAGGTTCATGAGACACAAATTGGAAGTGATTTCTTCACAAGTTTGTTCTAAAACCAGCTTTTTCTGATCCAGATGTTTGACAGAGGCAGAATAAGTTGGGGAGATGCATAGACTTCCACAAAATATTTCCACCTCAATTTGGGACAGCTTAGGAGTCTATACTCAAAGAACAGCCAACATCCAACTTTCTTAACCCAACCAACTCAACCCTGGGAGAAACTTCCAAGGAGACCGGGTCTGTTCATGGCGTGTCCTGTCCACAGTTGTGGTCAATTTGTCCTCCATCCATTGAAATTGCTCTCCAAAAACTCACTGCAACCTTGGGGGATGTTGAGTCCAGAGACACTCTCCTGCCAGTCAAAGGAAGGGCAGTAGTTTGGAGAAATCTCCAGAGTGGTGCCTCTAGGAGGAATGATGGGCCTTGATATGTGTACTCAACACCTCTGATTCAAGTCCAGCCTCTGCCACTTACTACCAGGTGACTCAGGATCGATCTCCTGATTACTCTTGAACCTGTCCCGCCCTGTAAATTGGGGGTTTACCCACAGTCATTCAGCAAACACTGACTGAGCACCTACCATGCAATGCAGAGCTGTGATGAATGCTGCCCCTTCCTACTGCACAGGCTGGTGTGGGGATCATCGGACTGTTAGGAATCTGATAGTCAATGGTGGTGATATTTACATGTTGTTTCTCCTCCAAGATCCCGATGGAGTGGGAGACATTTATTTCCCCAGCGTGTCCTTTACTCCTCCAGACCTCTTTCTCTGATTTTATGCCAAAACAATAGGATTCGATCTTACGTTTTTCCTAACTTTCCATCACACCACCCATTTTGAGGGCTGAGTTGGCATCTGAAAAACCATGATCCCTGCAAATAGATATTCTTCAGTTTTTCTTAAAAAATAGGACTTTGCCTTATTCATCCTGCATTCCCAGCAACATAGTAAATATGTGCTTAGTAAATATGTTGACTGACTGACTGACTGACTGAATGAATGAATGGGAAATCTTGCCTCCAAAGAGAAGAATTAATGAAATTAGAATTAAGAGTAAGAACAGCTTTTCTGAGTTTATTTTACCTATTTCATATAGATCAGCATTCTCTTTAATACTGTCCTGGCTGCTGTGCCTGACTCCACGCTGCACGCTCCCTTTCTGGCTATGGCATAAAAACCCTTCGTTCTAGAAGACATTGTATGCTGTCCAGCCGCCAGTCCCAGCTTCAATCTTCTGACATCTTCCTGTTACACCCGTTACACAAAAGGGAGTGAGCGATGCGTGTGTCCCCTGCCACCCTCATACTAACTGCCAAGGCCCAGGGGAATATTTTCATCCAGCCTTTCTCCCCCTTTCTTTTTCTTTTAAGCTTCTTCTAGTGATAAAAGCTGAAGCAAATTGAAATTGGCAGCTCTGTGGTCTTCAAGCAATAGGAAAAGTACCAGAGATCATGTGAACCACACTTTTGAAAACTTAAAAAAAAAAATCTAATCTTGCCTCAATAAAAAACGACATCATGTCACGGTAGTCGGCAGGGGGAATGGCTTGAAAGTTGCTGGCAGTGGCCCAGCAGAGTTCAGGGGTTCTGCTGGCTGCGCCGAATTCCCACGGGAAAGGTGGAGGGAGAGGGCTGCCTTTCAGGTGAGCCCAGGAGTGGGGTCCGGGGTAAAGCTCCCCCTGAAACTCCCTATAATCCCCTGCATTGCTGTAATCGCAGCTCGGGGGCTGGCTTCCTCCACCCCTTCTCCCACCGGCCTTTCTTCCTGATGTAGCTTTTGGCTGTGTTCCCCTGGCTGGCTTTGAGGGAGAGGCGACAGCCAACCTGGGAAATCTCAATGACAACGAATCTCCCTGTGAGGGCACAAAACCAGAGCCAAAGAAGGTGGTACCAACTGCCCAATTCCACTGAGTGTGGTGTCTTTGCAAACTCACCCCTGTGTGGTCTGAGCCAACGACAACAATCAAAATGGCAGGTTGGCTGTGCTGAGCCAGCCCTTCTGCATGGAGCTGCCTCGGCCCCGGAAAGTGCAGAGCTGGGGCTGGTTTTCATGGCGCCCCAGTTTACCTGCAGTTGATAGTGACTGTCTACTACCAGCCACTGACTGTTCATTAGCCACTTCCGAATGGGTATTTAAGAGACAGGTGAGAGTGACTGCCTCTGGGACACCGCTTGGGGGATGGGGCCACCCATGGAACCGTTACTTTTTTAAAATGTATTTTTATTGATTTCAGAGAGGAAGGGAGAGGTAGAAAGAGATAGAAGCACCAATGATGAGAGAGAACCATTGATTGCCCCACACTGGGGATTGAGCCCACAACCTGGGCATGTGCTCCGACTGGGAATCAAACCGTGACCTGCTGATTCATAGGTTGACGCTCAACCACTGGGCCACTGGGCTGGAAGGGTTACTTTTGTACTGCTTAAAATTTCTAACCAGATGCATTTTGATACACTCAGTCAATCCGTAGATAAAGAGACAAAATTCATTAGCAGTAAATGACTGCTCAGTGATGCCTGTTTCTCCCTGTACTCCTCATCTGACTTCTCAGCCTGAGATACACATGACCCCCAGGGACACAGACTGGACCAACAAGAGGAATTCTGGAATTTCAACTTTACTTGAACGACTGGGCAGAGGGAGTGGCAAACACAGTTACTTTTACATGAAAAAAAAGTATGGATATATGTGAAGTATAATGCAAAATGTGCTTGGATAACTAAGAGGAAACATAATGTTTTCATTCCACTGTATGCCATATACAAACAAACCAAGCACCATGCCAACCAAGCGGTCGGTGCCGGCTCTGTGTTCCAGGGTCCCTGAGCTGCAGGGGTGTCTGAGAGCCTGTTTGTCTCCGGGGTTGCACCTGTGAAGCAGAGTCTAGTTCAGGGGTGGGCAAACTTTTTGACTCGAGGGCCACAATGGGTTCTTAAACTGGACCAGAGGGCCGGAACAAAAGCATGGATGGAGTGTTTGTGTGAACTAATATAAATTCAAAGTAAACATCATTACATAAAAGGGCATGGTCTCTTTTCTTTTTAGTTTTATTCATTTCAAACAGGCCGGATGCGGCCCGCGGGCCGTAGTTTGCCCACGGCTGCTCTAGTTAGTGTCAACAACCAAGAGGGAAGGTGTTCCTAGAGGGGCTGGGGGTGGCAAAGCTGAACCTTAAAGGAGGGGAAGGATCTTGTTTGGCAGAGCAGGGGTGGGAGACTGTGAGCAAATGGTGGTGGGCTGGTCTGGGCAGAGGTGGGCCTGGGGCAGAGAGAAGTGGGGGTGCAGAGAAAATGAAGGTAGACCCAGATAAAGAAGGCTCCAATGAGGGACTGCAGAGCTTAGACTCCAGGTGGCCAGCCCGTGCTTCTTAATCGTGTTCCTGAAGCCCCACTTCAAGGTGGGAGAGAGAAGATAGATGCCCTGGGCGTTCAAGAGGTGGCCAAAGCTGCTGAAGACCTTTCTTAGCAGTGTTAGTTCTACTGCCAAAACACATGCACAATCCAATCACCTCTTTGCTACCATTCTGGTCCAACCCACTTCCATCTCTCACCTGGATGATGTCATAGCTCCCTAAGCAGGGTCTCCTTGCCTCTGTCCTTGCCAACCACAGAGCAGATTTTTTCATAATATGAAGTCACATCATGTGACCTCTTTGCTCAAAATCTTGCAATGGCTCCTGCCTTCCTCAGATCAATAGCCAGGTCAGTAAAATGTCCCCAGGCCTGCATCAGCTCTCTCTCACTCCCCTTCCCACTTTGCTCACTTGGCACCCATCACTCTGGCCGCCTGGCTTCCTTAGAGCACTTAGGCTGGATGCGGTCCTGCCTCCGAGCCTTTGTACTTGCTATTTCTTCTTTGGAGAAAGCTTCACACACTGGCTCCCTCCTTTGCTTCAAGTCTTCTAAGGCCTTCCCTAACCATGCAATTTAAATCTGCACCTCCTGGCACTTTCTATCTCCCCTCCCTTCCTTGATTTCTCTTTGCAGTACTTGTCACCATTCAATATACTATCAAATCCACTTATTTATTTTGCTTGTTTATCTCTTCATCTAAAATTTAGGCTCCAAGAGTATGGGTTATTTTTTATTTCTGCTTTACCACAATGTAACACCATGCAACTCCTCCTTAAGGAGAGTTGCAATTCATAAATGTAGAAGGAATGAGGGGAATAACATGACTTTTAGATTGCCACAATATTCATTGCCACAGGTGAGATCCTTTGAGACATTTAGTAGGCAGAAGTGCAAGCGTAATAGCATATTTGCATTGCTTTGAAATATCACACACGCACACCCCAAAAAAACTTTTAGGAAATACAAAAGTCATAACTTGATCATAGACAATCCTGGAGAAACGATCTTAACCTTGTGATCATGTTTAATGGCAGTGAAATACAACGTCAGGTACGTCTGGGTGTTCTTCCCAATAATGCAGCTCCTCAATATCGCCACGAGGAAATGTCAGACAGACCCAGTGGAGGACATTCTATGAAACAACTGACTAGGACTCTTGAAAGTGTCATGAAAGACAAGGAAAGATGGTGGAGCTGCCACAGAGTGAAGCAGATGAAGGAGATGAGATAACTAAATACACTGTGGAAGCCTGGATGGGGTCCTGGAACAGAAAGAAAACACAATCTATTAATGGAAAAAATGGTGGAATCTGAATTAAGTCTGTAGTTATAGGATTGGAGCAAGATGATTTCCTTAGCTTTAATGATCACTCCATCATTGTATAAGATGGTAACACCGGGGAAGCTGGTTCAAGGGTTAAATGAGCCCTATGTACTATTTTTGCACCTTTTCTATAAGTCTAAAATTACCTCAAAATATAAAAATATATTTAAACGTCATTGGGGCAAATTTGGAAGTCTTTTCTCACTGAACTCTAGGTGTTGGGGCAGGAAAAAGGGGAAACAAGTCTAGGAGTTATTATTAAACGTGGAATGTGGAAGAAGGGTCCACATAGTTCAGACAACAAACCAGTCGTCATCTTTTGACTCCTCCTTCCCCATCATGGTCCAGTGGAGGCCTGGCAGGTCTCGTAGCCTCTTGAATCCCTTCTCTTCAGCCCACCAGCCCCACTTTAGTTAAGGCAGGGCTCCAGCTTCCCCTCTGGGTTACAAGTCAAAAGACAGATCAGAAGAAAATGAATGCACGTTGTACGGAAACTGAGTGGGAAAGTTGGCTCAACCCTATCAGTAAGTGAAAGGAAAAAAATTCACAAAACTCCAAATCCCCAGTCTTGGTCACTGTGCACAGCCTTTCTTCTCCAAGAGAAAGCGGTGGCCCCACACAGGGTTATCTACAGTTTTTAGTCAAAGAACTCAGCATATTTGGGTGTTTTTTCATCTCCCCCTTTCATTTATTGTTTCAGGGTAAACACTCGTGATTCATAAATGCCTTACGAGTGAATCAGTATTCTCCTGTTCAAACCAGCAGAGGCCACATCAAACAATAGCCCACAAGGTATTATTAATCATTAAATAGGCACATAGAAGACCACTCAGGCGAGGGAGCCATTTTTCTTTTTGTCTTTTTTTTTTTTTTTTAAGGGAATTAACAAAGAATAAACCTTGACTTTGGCCTATTTGGAAAAAATTTTCTGGGTGTTTTTGTTTTTTTTTCTATTAAAGTTTTAGTCAACTTCAAGGCTAAAAGGACAAATATTTCATGTGGGAAAATGCTCCTTCCTTTAGGGTCTTCCTTCGGCTATGAAACAATGGCTTGGATTTCAAATGTTAGCACTCGTTTTTCCACATTCACCTGCCTAAGGAAAACAGATGTGCTCAGCCATAGTAAGTAGGTGCAAGAGTCCCCGGTAACACTGCTATGCGGTAGCCACAATCTGGGTGCAAACTGGTAGGGGAGGAAGCTCAGAGCACACACACTCTAACCGAAGAGGAAGCCGTCATGTCAAGCATGCCTTGAGCACAACCGTCCAACCATCAGGCGCCTCCCTCTGACCTTGCTTTCTCCTTTATACTCTAGGTTCAGAAATGGGGCTCCTACCTCTATGGAAGGCAGATCAATGGCATCACCTTTCACAGATGCTGAAATGCTAAAACATCAGTGACTGGAGAAGAATCTTTCTTCTCAGGAAGCATCCCTGACGAAAAGATAACGGAAGAGGTGGATGAAGAAACTAGTAGATGCCGTCCTGGGCCCACAGAAGTGGGATGGCCACATGTCCCAGCTGATGCCAGTTGTCCTGACATAACTGTTAAAAGCATTACGTCCTAACACTCAAGAGTGTCCCAGTTTGGACCACAAAGTATATGCTCATCGACAAGAACCTGCTGGAGCAGGAAAGACCTCAGACAGTCATCTTCCCCACCAATCTTTATCTCATATAAATGCGGCTGGGGTCCCTGGAGGGCCTGTTCACATTACTCTTTTGGGTTGTGTCCCTCTGCAGCCACCCCATTCCTTCCTGGCGGGGGGGGGGGGGGGGTGGGGGGTGGGGAGGGTGGGGAAGGAGTCACCCACACATCTTGCTGATGCCCCTGCCTCCACCAGAACTCTGCTTTCCGTGGGCCTGAGGCTCATTGCAATGATCAGGGCCAGGCCACACCAAGCTCTACACTGCAGACAAAGCCGCATCCACAGTGCTAGGGCGGTAGAGACCCTCCTCCCTGGGAAAGGAGAAGCAGCCAGATCCCTTTTTAGGTTTCTCCTGCTCCCACCGCCTGAGATTCATAAAACACTGGCTGACGCTTCTGCTTTGTCAAATACTCATGGACCAATTTACCACAGTGGCTGTCCATGTCTTTGAAAATATTAACATCTTGTGACTTTTTTCAGATGAATGAGGGTACCTATGTTACTCGCCCAAGACACATACTGGTATATAGCAATGCTAAAAACAGCTGAAAAGTTACATTGTATTTACAATATGCCAGGCATTGTTCTAAGCACATTATATACAGTGGTTCTCATAACGAACCTATAAGGTAACATGATCTTTCTACGTAACCGGTAAGTGAATTGAGGCACAGAATGGTCATGTCACCTAGCTAGAAAGCGAGCAAGCTGGGACGCGAACCAGGGCGGTCAGTCTCCAAAGTCTTTACTTTTGAGCCACCTGCTACAGTTTCTTTTCTGAACAGATATAGAGATATGTGGTCAACATTCCTATAAGAAATGATCACCCGGTCAGTCAAATCTCAGCTGTAAAACACTTCAAGTTCACAGAGGAAGGTGCTATTTAAATATGAGGCCATTTCGCCTCGCTTTTATAGCCTCCTTTATCAATATCACTCACCATCGTAAAACAGCAGGTGTGGCAGGGTGCTCGATGAAAACAGGTGGTTTTGTGTGTGGTGTTTACACCTATTGAACTCAGTGTGTCTGGGCATGATTACTCTTTACTTCTTGGTCATGCACGCTTCCATGAGGGGTGGCATAAAGAGAGTGAGGGCACACACAGAGGTAAGCCATGGTCCTCCTCACAGGGACCCGTCCGCTTCAGCGACTGCCCACCAGACTCTCCTGTCCCAGCTGTCCTCCTTTTTAGTTCCCTTCCCACTTTCCAGAAGGACCTGGGATCTCCCACTGGCCTCTTTTGCCGTTGCATCTGCTGCCCAGTGGTGGAACCTGCCTGCTTAAGTCTTACTTATTAACTATACACAGATATGGCAGAATGCGATTACAGTAGAATTATTTGGGAGCTCAGTATCTCACTTCTTCCCACGAACCTTACCCTGGGAATTGCTTTGTACTTTCATATGGCCATGTGGTGGTGTGTCTTTAATAACCATCAATAAAGATAGGCCTGGGAAAACACGGACAGCCACAGATTCCTCTAAATTCCCCTGACTGCAACAGAGCAGGGCTGTCCGCAAGGGTATCCTGGCTGCCCAGAGGTAGTCACTGGGAGTGGTCAAAGTTAACCCAGCTCTGATTCAGCAACCAAAGAAAATGGGAAAATGTGCTAACCCTCTGAGGGCTCCATGACATTGCCAATAAAATAGACTTAAGTCAAAGTTCATTTATGCAATTATTCTTCAAATATTTGAAGGTTAATTCAAGTTAAGTTCGGGTCATTGGAAATTGGGTGGTTTAAACCCCTGACTGTATTGTCTGACTACCATCAACACAGGCTCACCAGGCACAAAGAAAGTAAGCCAAGACTCCTCCCATCTGTCTGATGACAGGTACTTCTAGACACGCCATCGAGGTCTGTCCCAGGTGCCAGGCTTTGAGGGCAGGTGAGGAGGGTGCAGAGGGTGGAAGAGCCACCCCGGCCAACGATGCCAACTACTTGAACGCGGTTACTGGGCCCTCTGTGACTGTGGGAGCCCAGCGAGGTGAGGTCCCAGCTGGATACATGTGTGATACGTGCACAGCGTGGCTATCTCCTCGGGAAGCCGGTGACACTCTGGCACTTTCTCGGAGCCCTCTGTGGGTCAGGCAGGCGGCCGCACACCAGCACGTCACACAGCGCTCCCCTGGCATTTCAGTCAAGGCTGGCCATGGTCGTCTGACCCCGCAAAAGGAGAGGTTCTTTTCTCTTCCTCACAGAATGTCTCGCCCAAGCAGCCCCTGAACCAGGTCCAGGCCACGGGTTTTATGTGATGCTGACGACAATACAGACAGCACAGAGCAAAGCTAACTCATGAGGGAAAGGGATGCGGAGTCCAGAGTTCTACAAGGACCCTCGGTCACAGGCCTGGTCTCCCTTGCCGAGGGCTTTCCAGGAAATCCCCCTGAAGGCACTGGACGCTGAACTAAGCAGCTCCAGCCTCAGGCCAGGGGAGACTACGACCACCACCTTTCCATGCCTTTCCTAGAACCTGCTCAATCACCTACCTGCTCAGTGAGATCTCTTCCCCTGACTTTCCTCCTCCCCCAAAGGAGGAAGGACCTTTCATTTTTGCCCCAAAGATGCATCCTCTGGGTTACTAATATGCTACACCAAATGGTCCCATGTCCCGGTTTCTGGAAATCTTATTGTCGCCTGTGGCTAAGAAAGGAAATGCGGTTCTCTCCTGGCCTCTAAGCTCCCTGCCCGGCCTTGTCTCTCTAGAGCAGGGGTGGGAAGGTCAGGCCCAGGGCCATCTAAGGCCCAAGAATCATTTGGTCTGGCCCTGCCAAGGCATTAGGGGTGAGTTAATTAAATGTTTGACTGAATATAGCAGATGAATTTTTAAGCTAATAATTTTATATGGCCCACAAATGATGTGATAAATATCCAAATGGCCCTTGGCAGAGAAAAGGTCCCCCACCCCTGCTCTAAAGGTACTATTTTTCAGAAAACTCATCTGTCCTATACCCTGTGCCCCCAGTAGCCCAGGGCCCTGTTGAATGTCTCCTGCACTGACCACTTGAATCCTGTCTCTGCCCCCATCCTCCCACCAAAGTCTTTCTAAATCATAAGGATATATATAATGACAACATGTCGCAATGGACTAAAAAGTGTCTTGTCAAGTGTCAAGTACAACAAAGCAGGGAAACAGGTACCTCCAACTCCGTGGAAGAGACCAGAAGGCCTCAACCAGGCCAGCACCCACCAGTCTTAGGCTGCGTTTGTGGCGGCTGCCCGAACACCTTCTCTCATGCCCTAAGCCTGATATCCAAAAGGAAAATACAGGGTGGGCAAAAACAGGTTAAATTACCAGCCATCATTACCTAAACGATGAGTCATAAGTAAGGATACAAAATAATAATAATACAAATAAATATAATAATTAGTAATAATATGAGGATGAACTGTTTCATATACTCACAGCGATAAACTTACTTTTGCCCACCTCTGTATATATTTCACATGCAAATACCATTTACTGACCACTGGGAAAATCTCTTCTATTTCTCCCCTTTCCCTCTGCTAAATGTGAGTCAGCCAGCAGGTCGATGTGATTGTGCCCCAAGGCCTTCACTATATCACCAGCATCGCACCTTCTCTGGGCCTAACACAAGCCTCGTATTGACAGAACACAGATTCAGGGCTGGAAATATTCTCTCCCCCAACCTTCCTTTTAGAGCACAAATAAAGGAAACAGGTTGGCCATTATAAGAAGGGATGACATGAGGCAGGATGATTGTCGTGTGTGGGCCCTTTAAGTGGCTTCCTGGCTCCCGGGACTTGGAAGTCAAGATCCCTTCTTTTCCAGAGGTTATGGAGTGATGAGCATATCCAAGAAGAGAGTTACAACGCAGCAAGCCTGAAATTTACCCGTGCTCTGTGCTGGGCATATTCTGTCATACTACCCAAATCACTCACCAGCACACAGCTGGAAAACCCGTCTTTCGTGGTAATGTTGCTCACTTGCTGTAGATGGCATTTCAAAATGTTTTCACATAGAGATACAGCGGGGTGGTTTTCTGGACTGGTGGGCAGGAAACCTGAGCCTGTTCTGGCTTTGCTAGACCCTCTCTGGGAGGCTGCTTGACCTTGGGCAAGTCACTTCCTCCTGGGCTCAGTTCTTCCAGTGCCTTCAATGAGGGGGCCGGCCAGTTCAGCTGCTTTTTAGGTCCCTTCCCCTGCCTCCTCTTTCCCTTTTGCTCTGAGAGATAATGCAAAGATAACAATGATGGTGATTTTAATTAAAATGTTATATACATTTGTCCCATATTACTTTTAGGCTCACAATTTTACCTAAGTAGTTTTCCTGGCTAGCTGAGTTTTGCTTTTGTTTGTGATTTTTTGAGAAACTTGGTCTGATATCACCATCTGAACAGCTATCAGCAATCCAAACAAACGCATGTCCTGGGTTGAAAGGGGTTAGGCTTTGCCTCCCTTCCTGGGCCTTCCAGAGGCCCCCCCAGTCACCAGCCAGGGTAAAGTTCTGAGCCTTTTGCACACAAGGGTACAAGTCAGATCCCTCGGGAACGACCTCCTGTGTCCCGGGCTTGCAGGCTTGCCTCACTGCAATGCTGCTCAGAGGGTAAAAGGTTAGCCAAGAGCACATTTAGAGCCTTCCAACCACGCTGCTGAGGCCAGGCCGAACGTGGGAGTTAAGGGCGCCCTGCCCCCACCCCATTGGGAAAGGCTTTCTTGGCAACCATCCTTCTTCAGAGCCCATTAGAAAGCGCACATTCCCGTGGTCTCTCTGGCTCTAGCCGAGTTTTCCAAGAGGAGGTGGGGGAGGCGGAAAGCACTACAGGCTGCCGTTAGCCAATGTTGAAAGCTTCTGTCTTCCACCTCCACCCGCAGTTAGCAGTCCAAGGTCCCAGCTTGGCTGGAAACCAACTAAGCAGTTTTGTTCAGAAGTAGCGACTTATTTTTATCAAAGGTGGAATGCAGAGCTGCCGTTGTTTGTAATGCCCCTGCATGGCAACCAGGACTCTTGCTCCAAGCTCTAGGGAATCCTCTTCTCTGCCTGGACACCTGGCTTTCTAGCCTATCCCTTTGCCATCCAAAAACTGCGTGCAGAGCAACTCCAGTGTCTCCGAATTAAGACCCAGAAAAAGTTCTGGAAATTCAAAGTGTCTTTATTAATGTGTCCACTTTCAATCCAGGCTTTGGTGGGGACAGCCCCCTATAAACCCACCCTAAACTGACCCAGGACCACAGCACTATGGTGTGATGGAAAGAGCTCCCAGCTGGTGGCTAGCCCCCACTCTGGCTTACGGTGCTGTGGACCCTTGAGCCAGTCCCTTGCCCTCCCTGAAGCTGGGTATCCACTTGTAAGTGGAGACTGTCTGGCTCAGTTCCCTCAGTCTTTCGAGGTCACAAAATGTTTTGAAATTCTGCTGAAAGCTATGGACCCTCACCTCAGGAAAAAAAAAATAACACGTCCATTCATTCTTTCAAACAGTATTCATGGAGAACAATTTTGAATTCCATTTCACGGGCTTTCTAGGCTCTCTGGGAGTTCATCCATGAACCTAAGGTAAGAAGTCCCAGTTATGAATTCTGCTGTGACGTGCATAGATGGACTCTTGTCTACAAGAACCATAATAATGATTCTAGTAAAGGATCATAAAACTACCAGTCAGGCAGGTGCCAGAAAACAAAGGCAGCCAGGCAGACATTATGAAGGTGATCTCAGGCTTCCCTCCCCTTCCTGTTGTGGTGCCCCCACCCCGCACGCGCACAGGCAAACAGGCAAGCACCGCAGGCCTGGAATGTGCTGTTCCTGGGCACTGGGACTGCGGGGAGCCCGCTGCAGCCCTGGAGAGGCGACAAACATCTCTTCTATCCTGGGCTTTATTTTTCTCACGGTCTCTGAAAGGGCTGCGATCAGGTGATATGTGTGGGACTGCTCCTGGTACAGGTGCGGAGCAGGTACCAAGGGGAGGAGAAAATCCGCCCAGTGTGTACTTACTCAAGACTCTTTCAATAGCTCTCCCAGATAGCTCTTGGCAGGGCAGCGACCACGTCTCTGGCAGGCTGCAGGGAATCTGAGTGTGAGAAAGTCAGTCAAGCGGAGGAAAAGGGGCGGGGGGGGGGGGGGGGCCTTCAAGTCCTCAGGCAAAATACCTTTTTCTTCTTCTCTCGCTCTCTCTCCTTTCTGTAGCTTTAAACCAAACCCACAAATCATTCAGATACTCCAGGACAAAGGGGAGTCTCACTACATGTAGCTGCATTATTTGTTTTACGGTTTAAAGCAAACAGGTAAAGCAATAAGACAGAGAACAGCCCTTCTTGGGGGCAGAAAAGGGGAAAGAGGAAACGCAGCAGCCTCTGGTCCTAATAAAGGGGCATGATACAGTAGCAAAGACGCCTTGTGAGTTGCTGGTCTCACAGTGGGATCAAAGACGTGACCGCTGATGAACACGGTCCAATATTCTCTCTGCTTTGGGAGAGAAAGGAGAATGACTGAAAAATAAAGGCTGTTGCGATCTAAGAGGAGCCTTCCAAAGCCAAAGTCTTTTCTCGAGTTTAGGAGCTTAATTCTCCATTTGAGAAAGGGGTGGAGAGTGTGTCAACGTGGTGCTATTTTCGCTGCCCAGGAAAAGGATACTGAAAAATAGTCTGTGAGCACATTTGCAAAGAAGCTTTCTTCTTAAACAGTTAGGGTGGAGGGCCACAACTTCCTGGGTTGGTTTTTATCTTTGTTTGTTTGGCCCAAACACAAATTCATGGCAAATTTTTGGTTACTTAATTGACCCCTCTGTCTATCTAAAAGTGTGTGTGTGAGTTAGTTGCTCATTCTCCCAATCTAAGCACTCCTAAAGTAGCCAGAAACAAGTTGCTGATTAACTGACTGAGGAGGCTGCTGTAGGCACTGCAGTGAGACCCTAACTTGACTATAGTCAACACTCATTCAACATTCTCCATGTACCTTCAGGGTGCCCAATCCTGAGGAGATGGAAGTTAGACCAAAAATAAAAGACTTTTAGGCTAGAAAGGACAGGAATGGTATACCCAGCTAGTTAATTAGGGCCCAAGAGCAGACAGCAGTCAATAGCAGAGCTTCCTGGAGGAAGTTACTGACTCTCATAAATTTGGGGGAACCTAGAAAGGGTTAACATGCTTCCCTGGAAGAGTTTAGTTCCTTGGAAGAATCTGGGTCAGAGTATTTAGGCAGTTTTTAAAAAGTCGGGTGCTGAGCAGAAGCATTTTAAGAGGCCTACAACGTCTGCAAGGCAGAAAGGAGGGTAACTTCATAGGCTCATCACCTTTCACCAAGAGGATTTCAAACACACAGGAAAACACCACCATTTTCAAAAGCAACAGACAATTTTCTGTCATCATCACTTTTCCATCTCTTTAAAATAACAAAACAAAGTACTACCCCATTGGCCCAGGTTGCAGGTCAACAAAGGAGACATTGTTCATCATTTCTTCAGAACATGACAGGGCACAGCCTGCTCTGCAATGTTAAGAAAACTCTCTCTCTCTCTCTCTCTCTCTCTCTCTCTCTCTCTCTCTCTCTCTCTCTCTCTCTCTCAGAGAGTAGCCTGAGGGGCAAGAGTAAGTAAATCAAGCCTGCAATGAGCTAAGATTTGGCTGCAGATTTGAGGGCTGATCTGAAAGGTGGAAATGAGGCTTGGAAGGTAAATATGGTCATAATCACAATGATTCCTTAGTTAGACTCCAGGCCACAGGGGGTACATTAAAGGGAAGGCAGGTTTCCACTAAACTTGGATCACTGGACAGTGTGCAGTCAATGCCCAGGTGAGCTGGTTCTGGGCAGGTGCTTCCAGGAGAGTATCAGCCTACACCTGTCACTTAGGAACCTCCTTTACTGGCTTGAACCTCCTAACTGGGCTCTCTGCCTTCAAATCCTACAACCCACTCTCCACACTTTTGCCAGAGTCATCTTTGTATAGGAGAACCTTAATGTCCCTTCTCTGCTCAAGAGCATTTTATAGCCTTCCATTGTCTAAAGATAAGTCCAGAGTCCTTTATCTAAGGGTCTTGTGACATAGCTTCAAGCCTCCTCCTTCAGTCGCTTCTTATACTCCTCCCAGTCACCCACCCTGGGGTCCAAATCATTTCCCTGAATGAGGACCGCAAGTTTGACAGCCTATGACTTAAATGCCATGGGTACTTCCATCCTCCCGGCCCCATGACTCACCACATTTCCAATGCCCCTCATCCTATTTTTTAAGATACAAAGCATAGGCCACTTCCTCCAGGAAGTATTCCAGGATACCCCAATTTATGAGTAATTTAATCATCCTAAACCTCCTCAGCATTTTACTTCTATCTAGACCAGTAGTTCTCAACCTTCCTAATGCCGCGACCCTTTAATACAGTTCCTCATGTTGTGGTGACCCTCAATTTCATTGCTACAAATTGAACATAATTAAAGCATAGTGATTAATCACAAAACAATATGTAATTATATATGTGTTTCCCGATGGTCTTAGGCGACCCCTGTGAAAGGGTCATTCGACCCCAAAGGGGTCGCGACCCACAGGTTGAGAACCGCTGATCTAGGCATATAACTGTCTCTATTGAACCTAGGACATACCAGAGAAATATACTGGGAAATAGACATTAGTTGCCCTTATGAGTATAGTATCTCTAGTCTGTGGGCTTCCTGGGGGTAATACCTATCTTAGGCATCCCTGTATCCCCAAATAGACCAACACTGTTGCCCACACATGTGTGCCCTAGTGTTTCTTTTAGGTTCTCCTGAACTCTCCGGCCATCATCTAAGCCCCAAGAAAAAGGAACGGTAGAGGAATGCCTGGTCATCAATCAGAAAATCAGGGTCTGTCTGCCTCCAGAGTGGACTGGAAACTCCTTGCAGGCTGCCACTGTCTCTCTCAACGTGGTAATCCGGGGGATTAACACACTGTCTGGCACAGAGTGGCGTTCCATAATGGAAGGAAGAGGGGGGCTTGCACAAGGTCACCCAGAGTCAGGAATCGCCTCCTCTCAGCCGGGACGAGATCTGGTGAAATCATTTACAACATTATCTCAGTGGGGAGCTGGGAGGAAGGAAGGAATGAAGTGTCTGAGAAATGTGTGCCAGGCCTTCAGCGGCCTCCAAGCCTGGGGAAGGGCGGGGGGGAAGGGGGGGCGACATCAAACAAGACGCCTAGGCTGCCCCGAGCCGCCGGAACAGCGCGCCGAGCGCCCGGGCGGCGGGAAGGGCGGAGGGGGTGGCGGCGAGGGGTGGCCGACCCGGGCAGGCGAGCCGGAGGGAGGGAGGGCGGGCAGGAGGCGGCCGGCAGGCCGGGGCAGTGCGCGTCGCCCGCCCCGCGCGGCAAATCCCCCAGGGAGGCCGCCGCCAGAGCCCTGGCGCTCCCGGCCCGGCGCCCGCCACGTGGCACCCGGCGGCGGCGGCGGCGGCGGCTCCTCGCGGCGCGCGGCCCGGCCAGCCGGCAGCACGCAGCCGCCCGCGCCGCCCGCCTCCTCCCGGCCGCCCGCCGGCGGCCTCCCGGGCGCAGTAAGGGGGAGCCGCCCGGCCGCCCTGGACCCCGGGAAGAGGCGGGTGGCGCGAAGCCGCTCTAACCGCAGTCGCCGAGCGGAGGCAGGAGGCTGACCCGGCCGCTTCCTAAGTGCGGTCAGGCATCTCGTGACCGCGGCGGGCGCCCGGGGCCCCGCGGGGGGAGGGAAGGCGGGCTGGCCGGGGCAAGGAGCAAACAAGAAGGCCCTCCCCCTCTTCCCCCCCCCCCCCCCGGGCTGTTGCTGGTGAGGCTTTCGCCCGAGTTAAAACCCCAAGCCTGAAATCAGGGGTGGAGTGGGAAGTTGGAATCGTTCCCCACTCTCCACCCTGGGGCTCGCGCTCCCCGCCCCGAAGGGCTGACCTTGGCCAGGGGGAACGCGGGGGAGGGGGGCAGTAAGCACAGGGACTCGGCTCCCAGCCCGCCCTCCCGCCGCCCCCTCGGATTCCCAGCCCAAGGAGGGGGCCCCCGGACACACACACACACCCCACACGCAGCGCGCGCCAATGAGCCCTGGCCAGGGGCAGGGGGCGGAGTTTTCCCAGGCTCGAGCACAGCAGCTGCTATTTACCTTCTTGGCTTCTCCTGGGGACCAGGAACCAGCCCCCGCGCTCCGCCGCCCGCCGCCGCCCCCCGCCTCTCTGCCCCCGGGGCGCGCGCACACACACTCACACACGCACGCACACACACATCCTCCCGGCCCCGGCCGCAGCCGCGGCGGCAATAAAACATCCTGGCACGTGCTCCGGCTCCAGGCGCGCCCTCGCCGGCCGGCTGATGTCAAACTGCAGCTCGGCTGGTGTCGCTCTTAAAGGGCCCGCGTGCGCCTGGTGCTGAGGCTGCGCCGCCGCCGCCCGCCCGCCTGGCGAGGAGGAGGAGAGAGGCTCCTGCACAGCCCGCCACCTCTAGGTGCCACCGAACCGAGCGAGAGCCTGCGGGTGGAAAGGGAAAGGGTGGAGATGGCGCATCCCTAAGGCATTGCCATCAAAGTCCTCCTTGTTCATCTTTCATTTGAAATTCTATTTCCTTTCTGCCCAGTTGGAAATTATTCTGATTATTTCCAGGGGAAGAGCGGGATCCAAGCCCCAACTCCTGAAGAGGAATGAGGGGTGAAGATCAAAAACCACCTTGCTCTGAACGACCTGCAAATGTAAGGTGGGAGGCATTTTTTTCCCTTTTCTGCATGACAAAAGGACATTTTTTTTTGTTCTTTTTCTGCATGATCGACTTTCACCCCCACCCCCCAATGTATAGTCTGAGCGGGAAATTGGTTGGATGTTTCGGTAACTCACACCCTTGCACACGTTCCCCCTTTTAACCACTACAAGTATAATCTTTTACCCTGTCCTTCTAAACCTTTTAAAAATATTTTTCAAATTAACTTAGCGTCAAAGCTCTATTACCCATTTGAAAGGAAATGAAGAGCAAAGACCGTAGCCCCCAAAGAAATAAACTAAACTAGAGCAAAACCAACGCGGAAAAAATCCTGCCTAAAGCAAAGCCCAGCAGGGATAGTATCAAAGGGTTAAAATCCTTTTGATTGACGTTGTAGCCTCCGGTGCCCCGGGCTCAGGCGCGCGCCATTGGCCGCCAGGGCTTGTGCCTGGCGGCCAATGGGGGGGCGCGGTCCACGAGCGGTGCCGCGTGTCTCCTCCTCCCATTGGCTGAAAGTTACTGTGGGAAAGAAAGTTTGGGAAGTTTCACACGAGCCGTTCGCGTGCAGTCCCAGATATATATAGAGGCCGCCAGGGCCTGGGGATCACACAGGATCCGGAGCCGGTGCTGATAACAGCGGAATCCCCTATCTACCTCTCTCCTTGGTCCTGGAATAGCGCTACGGATCACCAAGTAGCCATAAGATATTATAATAAATGCTCAGCACTTGCTCAGTAGTTTTGTGAAAGTCTCGAATAAAAGGGACATAAAACAATTTTTTCGTGTGTGTGTGAAGGACTCCAAAAATAAAATTCTCTAGGGATTTAAAAAAAACATCAACAGAAAATGCCAGCTGATATAATGGAGAAAAATTCCTCGTCCCCGGTGGCTGCTACTCCAGCCAGTGTCAACACGACACCGGATAAACCAAAGACAGCATCTGAACACAGAAAGGTAAGGGCAGTACCTGTATCTCTCTGAAGCCCCAAGAAATTAAGCTGGGGTGGGCGGGGGGTCTTTTATCCCTTAAAACTCCCTTGGTGAAATGGCAGATCCCATGGGAACTGAGGACTTTTTCATTTCTTTACAGTCATCAAAGCCTATTATGGAGAAAAGACGAAGAGCAAGAATAAATGAAAGTCTGAGCCAGCTGAAAACACTGATTTTGGATGCTCTTAAGAAAGATGTAAGTGGATAATGCTGCTTTTTTAGCTTTAATAAATGAAATACTATTTCTCGGGTACTACGTAAGAATGAAATCTCACCGGCGGATCTTCCCCGCCAGCATTGCGTTCTTTGAGGCGGGAGGGCCGGTCCCCTTCAGTGGGGGTCTGGGGAGGTCGGCGCCATGGGAGGGACCCCCAGCACTCCGAGGCTGCCGGCGGGGGTCTCACTTGCCTTCCTTGCCTCCTCTTCTGTGCAGAGTTCGCGGCATTCCAAACTGGAGAAAGCAGACATTCTGGAAATGACAGTGAAGCACCTCCGGAACCTGCAGCGGGCACAGATGACGGGTGAGGGCGGCTTGCCGCATCCCCCTCTGCGGGCGTCCCTCTCACCGGGCGGTGATTTCTTCCAGACTTCCGCCCGTGGTTGTGAGAGGCATTCAGCTACATTTTACTGCCTTGGCTCACTCTTACGTTCCCACGGTCTGGGGCTTATTTATAGCCACAACTCCAAGTTGTTACTGTTCCGGAAAGGGAGGGAGAGTGGTTGCAGCGGCGAGGGCGGCGGGCGGCTTGGCAGCGGGGAAAGCGGGTGGGGGCCAAAGGGCTTAGAACTGTGGCGTTTTGAGCTGCGTAGAGCCTGGAGGTCTTGTGCTTTAGCAGTCCCTCCTCCCCCATTATAGAAGGGAAAATGAGGTTCGGATGGCCGGGAAGGGCATTACCCAAGGTCACATCGCACGCGCTGTGTGTGTGTGTGGGGGGGGGGGGGGGGTAAGATCTAGGGCCGAGATCGGTTTAAATCCAGCGATTAAGAATGGAGAGAAGGAGCGTCTTGGCTTAAGTCGCCAAGCTAGTGTGGAGAAGTGGATGGTTTTACTAAACCCACCCACCCTAACTGGAGGCAGTTCTGCGGGCCCAGTGGTCAGGAAGGCAAGCCGCGGGGACCTCCCAGGGCGGAGGCGGTGGCCTCGGGGCCAGGGCCTTACGGTGACCTGACCTGTCTGTCTCCTTCTGGTCTGCAGCCGCGCTAAGCACAGACCCGAGCGTGCTGGGGAAGTACCGCGCGGGTTTCAGCGAGTGCATGAACGAGGTGACCCGCTTCCTGTCCACGTGCGAGGGCGTTAACACCGAGGTGCGCACCCGGCTGCTCGGCCACCTGGCCAACTGCATGACCCAGATCAACGCCATGACCTACCCGGGGCAGCCGCACCCGGTCTTGCAGGCGCCGCCCCCACCCCCGCCAGGACCCGGCGGGCCGCAGCACGCGCCATTCGCGCCGCCGCCGCCACTCGTGCCCATCCCCGGGGGCGCGGCGCCCCCTCCCGGCGGCGCGCCCTGCAAGCTGGGCAGCCCCGCCGGAGAGGCAGCTAAGGTGTTCGGTGGCTTCCAGGTGGTGCCGGCTCCAGACGGCCAGTTCGCCTTCCTCATCCCCAACGGGGCCTTTGCTCACAGTGGCCCCGTCATCCCAGTTTACACCAGCAACAGCGGGACCACCGTGGGACCCAATGCAGTGTCGCCTTCCAGCGGACCTTCGCTCACGGCCGACTCCATGTGGAGGCCCTGGCGGAACTGAGGGGCTCAGGCCACCCCTCCCCCCAAACTCAACCTCTCTCTCTCTCCTCTCGGGACACTAAACAGGAACTTGGATGCTGGGAAAGAAGAGAACTTTTGTGATTAAGTCGTTACTTTGTTTTTTTAATTTCTAAAAAGTTACTTTTTTTGTAGAGAGCTGTATTAAGTGACTGACCATGCACTATATTTGTATATATTTTATATGTTCATATTGGATTGCGCCTTTGTATTATAAAAGTTCAGATGACATTTCGTTTTTTACACGAGATTTCTTTTTTATGTGATGCCAAAGATGTTTGAAAATGCTCTTAAAATATCTTCCTTTTGGGAAGTTTATTTGAGAAAATATAATAAAAGAAAAAAGTGAAGGCTTTTATGTCTTAGAACTGATTATTTCAGAATATGTAAAAAAATAAAGGCACTTGGCAGAATTTGAATTACATATAATCTGAGAATTCAGGAACTGGCTCTGTTGTTATTCAAAGAACATTTTTAAAAATCCATCAAACCTTTCACCATGAACTATATTCCATTTAATTTGCAAGAACCTACGCAATATGGCTTCTCTGATCAATTTGTGATAAATTCCTTAAAGAATTTCAAACAGTTTATAGTTGGGTAGGCCATTCAGGGTACCTGCTCCTTCTGAGAAAGGTTGAACAGGACTGAATTCATGAAGTTAATGGATCTAGTACCATTGCCCGGGTCACTTTAAGGGAGGCTCCTGCAGCCCTTCCCCCCTGGGGTAGCTTACCAACATTCAAAGTAAAAACACTCTTAACCAGTGCAGCCTCCAACCTTCAAGAGTTGGAAGTCTTCCTTTAATTAGTCAGCCCTTAGGTTCAGCTAGACATTCCCTCGTACCAGCATCCAAAAGTTTGAAATGCCTCTCTGCACCCTCTTCAAGCAAGCTGAGAAGGTCAACAGATTCCTTCTGCCAAGGGACAGCTAGTTAGACTCCCATGTGGAGCCCAAGTCCAGATGATTAACACCAGACATATGTTTTTGATAAGTTTCTGTGCTTGGCTCTAATAGAGAAAGCATGTGGGGGCCGAGCTGGCAGGCACACAGGCCATCTTCCCCCTTTTAATACAAACAGCAAGCGACCCCTCCGCTTGGTCATGCCCCATTTCCAGGCAAGATGTGGGCTCCAGATAGGAGCAAAAGGCTTGTCTCGGGTTTCAGCTCACATAACCCTCCTTAACAAGTCCTAACTCAAAGCGGACAGCTTTAAACTGTGCCAGGATCTGCAGGGAATTTCTTCCAAATCCCATCACAAAGGCTTGTCAGATTTTGTCAGATTTGGCCAGGTGTTTGACTGCATCCAGGTGTTGGGGAAATGAAAACCACGAGCCCTACGAGACCAGACACATCAGCGGCGCTGTGGGTCTGGCGGGCGCGCCCTCCTCCCGCACTGCCGGCCAGTCCTGCTCCCGGCCAGGCCCCTCCCGCCAGCCTCCTCTCACCACCACCCGCCCCCCTCCCCCGCCCTTCCTTTAGAAGGGCTTCTGGGAGGAGGATGAGGCGGGAGAGATCAATCTTTGAAGCCTTCCTAACAAAGATAAAACCAACGATTTTCTGTCTTGTTTCAAAAGCTTTACCTCCTCCCCTGCCTTCTCTGGCCTTTCCCACAGGCCAGTGTGGAGAGCAGCTCTATCGAAGGGATGATCTAGCAGACAGCGGTTCGTTTCCTATTCAGATACCTCCTATCCAACTTCAGACTCAGAGGAAGAGATTTAAAAGATACTTTTAAAAATTTGGCTTCTACTTGCTTCATTTCGTGTATGTGAAAAGGGCCCAATACACCCTACGCCCAAATAAATACTAGTACACACACACACCCTTCTTCATCATAAATTTCCAAGATTTCCCTCTTGTTTAAACACAAACATAATAATAATTGTTCTATCAAGACTCCCAACCCAAGCTCCAATACTTCATTAGGTAAACTTGTCTTCTGGCCCCACTAGAAGTCCTTCCTTAACTGTCCTGGCAGGAACAATGGAGACATCAGTCCCATTTTTATAAAAGTACATTTGTGTTTTAAAAAATTCTACATT